TGAAAACATTGGTATTCACTGTAAAACCAAAGATTAAATATACTCTATATATATATATATTTAATCTTTGGTAAAACAGTAAAAACTTACTTTACATTAGTTTCCATTGGAATAAAAATAATAAACATTAAAAGAAACAAAGACTATTCTTATTTCATTTGTTTTTACTTTTTGGTTAAAGCATTATAACTTTTAATACAAATCAATTTTATATAATTAAATATTGTTATTTGATCAGATAAACTTTGAATTCAATTATTTCTAAAATTTTCAAGGAACTACACATTTCCATTAGGTTTAAATCTAAAGAGCCATTCACTCTATAACCAGTAATTTTAACTTGATAATATTTTGTTACATCAATCCCTTACCCTTAATTGCTCCAAACATATTTGATTGAATAAACTTTAACTTTTATTGGAGAAATGATAAAACAATCAATTATAGCATTGTTATTGACCATATCAAAGCGTTTTTTCTGTGTGGGACTTCAAACTTGAGCTCAGCACAAGAAGACTCACTTTTCAGCCTTATGACTTACAATAGTTATTTGTTTTACAAGTGTTGAAAAGCGACTTTTTCATGCGAGTTTTTAAGTTGCCCACGAGGCCGTCAGGCCGAGTGTGCATTAACACGAGCTTGAAGAAAGCTTTTCTCACAAGTATAACACAATGTTTTTTCTGCGCCCCTTTTATTTTTTATTATAAAATAACCTAAAAACTTTTTTGACAGCTGAATGTCAAACGATGCTTTCCGGTTCTTTTCACACAGACCTGTCACTTTTCACACAGAAATGTCACTTTACATTCGTGTTTTGCCTTGCCAATGAAAAGATTCATTTTCTAAGCAACGATGCCATCATAAAAAGTGACTTTTACGTAGTGGTCGTAGAAAAAACTATTTTCTTACATAGAATATTTTTTTTATGCGCCAGTAGGTTTTACTGCAATATTTTTTTTGAAATACAGATTCTCTGTTTTGAAACTATAAAAATGTATGTATATATAGGATGTTCCTTACATGAAAAAGTTTCTTTTTATACTATAATATGATATTCTAAAATTTAAATTAGCCCAAGAATCACGCATTAAAATAAGTACATAACATAAAGTAAGTAACATTACTGTTCACATAATTTGTTAAAGGAATGGTAGAAGCACCTAAAGCGGAATTTATCGTTAATACCAATTTTGACACGCGCAGTTGACTTTAGTATCATTTTACAAATTTTTATTTGATTGTCTTAAAATATTTACATAATAATATATTTAGATAACAGCTTTATTATAGCTACTAAATCAGTAAATTTTATTTAAATCGGTTAAAAAATGCGTATAAATTAACTACTTTTTAAAGGAAGTTGCTTGATAAATGTGTTTAGTTTATTTAAGCAATACAAAATTTATTATTTTTCTATGATTTTAAGTGGGGAGCACCAAATTATAAATTATAATTGATAATTATGGAACTTTTTTTAATTATTAACAAATGCTTGACCAACAGGGGTGTTATGAAATTTTGACGCACAATAAACATATTTTTTTTTACCTGGACGATTGAAAATAACAAGGCTCATATTTTATCTTTTTTAATAGATGTTATGCTTTGATTGTGGATCATTTTAATAAAATATTGAGCGTTTAAATTTTTATTTAAATCAACAAAGTCCTTAAGAGAAAGGTTTCATGGTTTTGCAGATATTTTTAACTTTTATGCGGTTTCAGGCAATTTTTTTTATTTGTTTCGCCTTGGTCGTCTGATGGCGCACCAGGTTGACTGTGAACATCTACAAGAAGGCGGGTCAGCGCTCTTGGTAACGGTCTTCAGACTAGATTGTGTTCTTGTGTACTCTTGTGTAACTACTATAAGTTGGCACTGCTGTTAAGAGGTCGCTAATTGGAATAAAGTTTGTGATTTATTGGTTTTAAAAGACATTGTCAAACTGCCAAAATATTGTATTCAGTTTAAGTGCAAAACAACATTGTTTAATGGTAACAGGTTTTTTAATTGGTTTTAAGCCTAAATCAAATATCAATTTAAATATAATGCTCAGTAATTTTATATTTTTTCATAATTCTACATATCTTGTGATGTTATTGAGAGAGCCAGGGGTTAGCAAACTGATTTCTTAAAATGTATTACTTTTTAAATATTATTATTATAAACAATTTGAATTTTTTTCTTAACAATATTGGTTTTCAGTGGAATATCATAGACGTCACAAATTATTTAAAATTGAATAAATTTTGGGTAGCAATAATTTTTGAAAACCGTTCTTAAATCCCTAACTTATCATATGCAATTTAAATGCAAAACACCCTTAATAACTAATAACTAAAATATTTTTTATAATGCTTAAGCTATTGTAATAAAATCAAAAGCAAAATCACTTAAGTAAGTTTATTTTCATTAAAATATACTGTCTAACCAAGGTTCTTAAAACATTATAGTCATTTTTATATGAAGGTTAATTTTAACCTTTTACTTTTAGATAAGATTTATTTAACATTGTAAATTTTAAGTATACTTAATTCCTATAGGAAAAGAATTCAGATAATTACAGTATAAACAATTTTAATTATTTATATATTTTCAGGCAAGGTTGACTATCTTTTCTTATACAAAAATTAAATTTGAACCAAACTAAAACACGATTAAATATGACATTCAAAGCACGGACCAACACATGATTCAGGTTTCATAAAACGAATACTTAGCTAAAGTTGAATGTAACGATTTTTTAATGTTAAACAAAATCGATTTTTCGAATATGGTTGCGTGTTTGGACAATGGTCTACTTCTATTTGTGGGTTTTAACATAATTTTACACAAGAATTGATAATCATGGAAAAAGTTAATTAGCCGTAAATCTAATTGATTATTTTTTAATAAGACTTATTGAAAACAAAATTTTAGTAACATGAGTCATGAGTCATTTTAACGATTTATCATTATTTATGCAAAAATCAATATTCATTAACTGTTTTTATAAAGTTGGTATACATTTTTGCTAGTACCCATTACTATATATAAATTTTTCCTTAATTACTTTTAAATAACTAAAAAGATTTTAATTTATACTTCCTCGTCCCATCCTTATCCCATATATGCATACAGTAGCAATATTTTAAATATATTTGTTGTTGTATACAAGTACAGTTTTGGTCGCGCATAATATACTTTGTCTAGAAAAAATTAAGTAAAATCTCCATCCATCAGACGGTTCTAACCTCACTTTCTAAAGATTTTGATTGTTGCTTTATTTTGACGACTTATATCATTTTACAGATTGTATGATATTTGACAACTGTCAACTAAATTAAATCTAACTTTAATCCGTGACTAAAAAGCCCGGAAGCCACTGTTGGTAATTTTAGTCCGTGACTTAAATGCCATAAAATCACAGATTGTCAATATATATACATGACGCCAGGTAATCTTTTAAATATATGTAGTGTCATGAAAAGATACGATAATGTGTAGGACCTACACTGTAGGTATAGAAAAAACAAATAAACTGAAAAAAAAACAAAAAATAATAGTTTATTATTATACGAGAGATAATGCATGCTATTATTCACGAGGACGAGGTTTTCGTCTCGAGTCGTCAGACGAGGGACTTAAATCATCCGAGTGAATAATGAGCATAATCTCAAGTGTTATACTATACTTTATCTACTCCAATAAGTAGATAATTTAATGATTTTTAAAAATAAATAAATAAAATCTAACTTCTATCAAATGGTTAACCTCACTTTTTACCAATTTTAAATGTTATTTATTGTCGCCTTTTTCCAATTTAGAACCAGATTGGTTCCTAGTGAATATTGAAATCGGCCAATCACTGATGCTTAACAACGTGAATAATGAGTTCATTATTCCCGTTGTTAGGCAGGGAATTTATAATGTTTATCAATATTCACGAAAAAAAAAACCAAAATTATGCAATAGGAGTAGATAAATTTATTTAAACCCTAGCCATCTAAAATATTCAATTTGACTTGAGAAAAAAATGTATTCGTTAAAGGGAAATCTTACATGCATAATTTGCATATGCATATATGCATATATATGCATTGCATATATATTTGATAATTATTATTTAAAAATAAAATTGATCTCAGGGCCTCTCGGGCTGGGGGGCCCGTCATTTTGCCAGTTCTGCCACCCTTTTGTTACACCACTGATTCCGTTATAATATTAGTAATGCAATTGGCACGGTAAACAAAACAAGTAAACAACAATAATACGTCATTTAAGATATCTTGCAAACGATAGCATTGACTGTAACTTGCAAAATGTATTTTGTATGTATTTTAATTTTAAGGAAGACGTTAAATCTGAGTAAAATATATTTTTTCTACAACCTTTAAAAAGTCATATTTGCATATGATGGAATTTTAATTTTTAGGGAGGCTTTAAATAGTATATAAATATATTTTTTCCACAACTGTTAAAAAGTTGATTTTTTTCATTGATTTCAATAAAAATTTGTCGATTTTTAGTTAATAATAATTAATTTATCACAAAACCTAGCTACTTTAATGATAAGAGAGGTGGAGTGATACCTCATTTTGACCCTCATTATATCCAAGTTTGAAATCGTTAGATCTTGTGATTAATTATTTATTAACTAAAAACATAAATACACATTTTTTAAGATTTCATATCAACAGGGATGATAGCAGTAACTTAAAACTTGGAGGTAATAATCAGGGCAAAAATAACTTAAATAAGGCATTAATCAACCCATTTATCATTATACATTTTGTGGGTAACTATTACTCACGCTTAGAGGTTGAAGTTGAGGAGTTGAAAATTTAAAAATAAATTGTCTCCCTGAAATAAAAAAACAAGTGGAGCGTTTTTTGTTATTTTTACGCCTGAAAAAACCGGGGTGGAAACTTTCTATTGGCCCACCCTATAGTTATGTATAGTAAATTTCTGTTATTTAATAGATTTATTTAAAAGCTAATTTAGTTTTCTTATTTTTGTTTTAGACAATGTGACAGAACAAGAAACAACGATATGCCAGAAGCAGACAGTCCCTTGGGCCAATGGCCAAACAGTCTTAGCTCCATGATGGCTTGTCTGGGTTGTACGCTGGGTGTCTTTAATATATCAAGGTACCAAAAATAATCAATAATTCTTCATCATCACTAAATGCAATATTTCTTTCTTAGGTTTGCCATCCTGACCGTTCATTTTGGAGCCAATTTCATCTTTCAGTTTATTTTCCTTTCCTTCATCTTTGGCCTGCCTCTATTTACCCTCCAGTTGTGTCTAGGACAGCAGCTGGGAGCCGGGGTTATAGATATGTGGAAGATCTCGCCTCTTTTTCAAGGAGTCGGAGTGTCGCTGCTTATTGCGCAGGCGTTGATGGGGCTCTACAGCATTATAGGGGTGTCGTGGATGTTCGTGTTTTTTCGCGACTCGTTTATTACAAAAGTGGATAAATACCGATGGGCTGAACCCTTTATATACTACCGAAACGGTAAGTAAATTAACAAAATTTTATATATATATTTTATAAATTTTATATATGTTTAATTAGCTAATCGTGCCATAGTTTTTTTACCAAATAAACAAATAAATTGTTATAATTTAAAAAGTTTCAAAGAATATTGTCCTTTGTCATACTTTCGACGTTAAATTTTAATGACACGCTAGAGTCTACCTGCTAGACTAAATTAAATGAGTGTTTTTGTAACATTTAGCAATAGGTACTTAGTTTTTTAAAGTAAAATCGTTTAAATTAACTTTTTTTAAATTACTACTTATGCTTAAGTGTAATACAATAACTTTCCCACTAAAAGGCATTCCACGCAAAACCCGACCCTTTTTGATTTGGCTAAAATTTTTATATGTTTTACTACAACAATAAAAATCTTTCTGTGAATTTTACGAATTTTTTTTCCCAACCGAAAAAAATTGAATGGTCGTAACGTTTTAAAAACTTAATATTCGAGATGCTTTTTTAAGTTTGTTGTTTTTAAGTACATTTTATAAAAAAAAATATTTAGCCATATTCTATAAAAATTTTCAGTTTTTAGCAAAAAACATTAATTATTCAGTTTGTAATTTTTATTTATTCCACCGCGGGTCAACTTTAACTAAAGTTTATTTAAAAAATTGATAACGTTACTTGAGATTAAACTCAGGTTTCTTCGCTTGACAACTCTACCCACCTCTTTTAATAGAATTTGTAATATGTTAATAATATTTTTACAATTTCAAACTTAAATATCTTTTTTGTTGGTTTTAAGCTTAAATGTAATTTACTACATTGCCAATTTCATTCATTGTATACTACATTTACTACAAATTATCTTGTCTTGTTAATAATAGCATTAATAATGTATACAGTGCCGGTTTTACCACTAGGCATCATAGGCACATTGACAAGTTGTGGCTTTATGGCGCTTTAGTCACGGGTTTTTAGTCACAGGTTTTTATTCACGGGCTGAAGTTAGTTTTAAGTTAGTTGACAGTTGTGCTTTTCTTGTAAAATAATACTTAATGTGAAAATTATTTTTTCATCTCAATACAAAAATACAAAAGTATAAAATAGTTTCTCAACGCCAATATTTGAAAAGTTTGTACTGACCTTTTAATTTCGCCGGCAGTAAACTATAACTTAAATTCGGGCACGGACTCCACTGTAAAGTGTTCATAAAACATTTTCTTTACTTTCACTGTGAAAATCTGTCAATTTTCAAGAAATACATTTCGATTTATAACGTTTATAATCTGTATTTATAAAATTTAAAAATTTGACATTTGACGGTGACACACAGATTCCCCTATTGTTTCATAGATGGCGCTCTATATATGTTTTTGATTTAAATCATTTTAATAATAATAATAATTATTTGTCGTAGAAAAAGTATAGTATGCACCTCGTTTATAAACTTTTCTATTCACTCATTAATTTAAATTTAAATTAAATTCGTGTATAAAATGGCGTTTATCAAACTTGATACATAATATACTATAATTCATTGGTTTTAAACATGCGCGTATATGAGAAACAGAAGTAGTGCTTTATCTACTGGATAAATTAAATAATAATAATAATAAAGTTTATATGAATATACTGACCTTTTAATTTCGCAGAAAACTAGATTTAACTTAATTTCGTGTGGAGACTTCACCTTGGAGTGCCAATAAAACTTTTTTATACTTTCAATGTAAAAAACTGATTCTGTCGGACGAAACAGTCCATTTTTAAGGGATACATTTCGATTTAAACATTTTTGTCATGTTTTACAACTCGCTTATTTTCATTACTGGATATTTTATTGTTAGGGTCACGTGTAACACAAAATTTTTAAAATTTAGAAAGGCTATTAATACGATTGAGTTAATACACATTTTTATTAAACATAAAATTAATTATTAAATCCTCTTTTACATGCTAACAGTTACCAAAAGTACGTACTAACATAATTTTATATACCTATTAATTTCTAACATTATTTATTTTTTAGAGATTCAACCATCAAACCTTAATGGAAGCTACAAATTAACGGAAACGATTCCGGACTACTTTAACGGAGTAGTCTTGCAAAGACATCATTTACCCTCTGGAAATGCCTATGGGACAATCAAATTTCAATTGGCGTTTAATCTGGCTGTAGTGTGGTTGATTGTATTTGTTTCATTGAGCAAAGGTTTAAGATCATACGGCAAAGTTATCTACGGATTTATTTTGCTTCCTGTTTTTGGAATGTTCATTTTGTGTGCAAAAATATTAGGATTAATGCCACCGGAGTTTATTAATATCATTTTTCCTGAGACGTCTTGGGGAGAGTTCTTTATTAACCCTAAGGTGAGAATATTTGAAATTATTATGTATATTATAGGTCATTCAATACCAAATTTCTTAATTCTATGGTCTATGGTTCTATTTTTTGAGCCCATATTTTAAAAAAACATTCCTTTTAATAAAATGATTTTAGAAAATAATAGTTTTCTTAAAATTTAACTTAAACCGTTAAATCACAGAGCCTTCTGTATTGATTCTGTACCCATGTCTAATATTTTATGCAAAAGGCAATAACGACAAAAAATATTGCTAATTACAAAAAACACCTCACTAAATGTCAAATAGATGTGCCACTATTTATGTTTCCATTAAATGTGTTAAGTGAATATTTAGATCAACCCATTTTTTCTTCTAAATTTATAATTTCAAACACTTATAGCTGTACCTTAAAGGTTGGGAAAAATTAAACGATGGATTCCGTAGTAAAAAATAATAGTTTTTTTCATATAAAGTTTTGGGCATCGCCAAGGGGGCATAATTCGATTTATAATACCTAGTTACCTACGGTTTGGGATTAATTAACATTTTTCTAAAATAGGGAAATTGCAGATGAACAAGAAAATATTTACATTCATTTAATTGAACGAATTTATGGCAATAAAGTATTTTATGATTGATGTTTTTGTTGCCCAATTTCCTTTTCGTAACATTTTTAACGGATCCGACCCATTTTCATGAAACAAAATTTCTCCCCAAAAATTACGATATCCGGTAAACGGACAAAATTAAACGGAAAAATCGATTCAGTTAGAAAATAGTTTCACCTTAGTAAAAATATTTACATTTTTATATTTTGTAAGGCATAACTCGTCTTTTGTGCTAAGCACAAATATGTTAATTTTATTACTTAATATTATAGTTAACACATTTTTGCTTAGCAACAAAAACGAGATATGCCTTATTTATTTATACTTATTTTCAACGGCGATTTGAAGATCTATTGGTGCTGCTTTACCCACTTTTGGCTAAGGCTAGATTATACTTTACAAATTGTTAGTATCCGACTGACGGTAAGTTTTTCTGCCAAAGCCGATTTTCGGATATTTAAAAACCTTCGGCTAAAGCCAAAAATGTATGATTTTATTAAATAAACGTATAAAAAAATATAACCTTAGGCCAATCATACAGCTTCGACTAAAATTCGAAACCTACATCCTACTAGGAAATTTGGGAATTTACAGGAAGTCTGTTAAACCGCAGGCTTCAGCTAAACCTTTGGCTTAATTTTAGCCGAAGGTTGCATTTTTGGCCGAAGCTGAAACATCGGTCGGACACTATAAATTAAATTTATTTAACCTACAAGGGTGTTAAAAAAATTTCCAACTTTCCAAAAAGTTTGCTAAAACTAAAAAATGAAATGTTTTGTTTTATTCGGTAAAGTCTTTTTAATGCTTATCCTCCCAATTTATTATACTAGATAATGGCATGCCCAATTCCAAAATAAATATCTGGTTATAATGTTAAAATTAAATGCAAAATACAATTTTGTTATTATTAACATCGGTAGGACACTATAAATTAAATTTATTTAACCTACAAGGGTGTTAAAAAATTTCCAACTTTCCAAAAAGTTAGCTAAAACTAGAAAATGAAATGTTTTGTTTTATTCGGTAAAGTCTTTTTAATGCTTATCCTCCCAATTTCTTATACTAGATCATGGCATGCCCAATTCCAAAATAAATATCTGGTTATAATGTTAAAATTAAATGCAAAATACAATTTTGTTATTATTTTATTTATATATACAAATATATTTGTATACATAAATTTGGTAGGCTGTTAAATACCAAACATATACAATGTATATTATTCATATATATTTAGAAGTTAAATTAAAAAGAAAAATAAAACCAAGGCCAATTTTTTACATATTTAATTATTGTCGAGTTTAAAACGCAACTTAAATTTGTAGTTTTTAACAAAACTAGCATTATCACGATTCCAATTTGTTTTTATTAAAATAAATACAATTTTACTGCACATGGCAATTTAAATAATACTTTAAGTTTTACATTCTTTGTAATTAAAATTATCAAACCAATTAAATAGTAAGAAACGTTCAGAGAACTAACTGCTTGATGGTTTATTAAGCGTCATTTAAGTAATGACTTTATAAAGCGTACGTGAAGAAAGGCTTATTAAAATAAATTGTATTTTAATTTAATTTTGTTTAATTTTAGTGTTGGCTGGCAGCAGCGCAAGAGGCTTTTTTAACATGGGGGCTTCTGGGGGCTGCTGTAATGCAAATAGCATCACATAATAGACATAAGCATTTACTTCAAAGAGATTCTAGTCTTGTAAGCATTATAACATTTTCAATTTTATTAATGGTCGCTTTTTTGGCAAACACATGTGTTCAGATACTTAAGTCTTATGGATATAGTTATCAGCCTAATTCATTTGGTAAGACGCCTAAAAATATAAAAGTTTTTTTTTTTAAATTTGGTTTTAATTGTAGAAAGAATGTCTTCTTATTCTTTTCTGAGATACGCCAAAGATCCTTTACCTCCAACATTATCAAATACTCCAATACGATATATGACCCATAATTCTTTTATTGTTGGGGAAAGAATCACTAGACCTGGATTAGATCATACTTTAGACAGTGGTTATCAGGTAATTTATTTTAGGTAGTTAATAAATATTTAAATTAATTATTTGTATTTAAGGCATTAAGATTTGCTACAGAACTCATTCCTGCCACTTTTGCTGTGATGGGTCCGGATCAAGTTTCGCCATTCTGGGCTGTATTATTTTACTTTATTCTAATAATGTTTGGAATCGCTCAACAACTGGCAATTTGGCATAGCGTTATTACTGGAATTATGGCGATTAAAGTAAATGTTTTAAAATCATGGGAAACCACCATAACTTTTTTCAGTTGTGCTTGCGGATTTGTATTTGGACTACCCATGGCCACTGAGGTAAAATGCTACTTCGAAAAGTTTAGCTAGTTTTTAACTCTTTTTATCTTTTATTTTTTAGCTTGGTATTTATGTAGTTTATTTCTTGGACTACACTGTAGGAGGAATGTGGTGGTTGATCCTTATTATTTTGTTACAAATTATAGCTGTATTTATGGTCAGAGGGAGACCGTATAGTGGAGATACAGTAGTAACCGCTCTCTTTACCCCATCCAGTCATCCATGTTTACTAAGTTGGGCACCACCCCTTTTATCTTTTACCTGGAACGTTATATTACCTGTTGCTTTAATGGTAAATAACTTAATTATCCAAATAAATAGTTTTTACCCAATATGATATTTTAGATTTTATGTATTTCCACATTTAAAAACGGTGGATTCAGGGAAATATTCATATGGCATCATGCACCCTCAGCCGAATATTGGCCATTATGGGCAAGACAAGTTGGTTCAATGATTCAGTTGCTGCCCATTTTTTGTATTCCACTTGTAGCAGTCATCCAAAGCTACAGATATTTAAATAATGGACCAAATGATATTCTGGAGGTAAATTTAACACAATTTTCTCTTAGTTCATCTTATCTTTTTAAACTAACACTCTCTATTTATGCTGCTTCTTAAGGAAGTGGAGGATCCACCTAACTATGTTAGTAGTAACTGCATAATTAACCATAATAATTTTATTAAATCATACTTTTTGCAGCGCATACAGTTGTTGTATCGTCCACCAATTGGAGAACACATGGATGATTTGGCAATACAAGAAGCAGCTGTGGCTTCTCTTAATAATAATACAACCAACCCAACAGCCAATGTAATTGCCGAGGACCCTCCACCAAAATACACACCTCCGCCATCATACACGACAGCAACAGGTGCCAGAATAGCAAAATTCTTACGGCAGAGCATAAGAAGAAGTGTAAGAAGATTAGCCAGCGTTCTTGGAGAAAGTAGTAACACTAGACAAAGAGCCGCCATTGCCAATGCAAATCTACAACCACCGCCTCCAGATTATAATGCGGTTTTGGTGGAAATGAACAATACTACGACAACTGATGTTTCGATTGCAATGACTGATTCGCTTCCTCCACCCAGACTTTCCACTTTGGAACGACTGAGAAATCTCACGCCATCATCCTCAACGCTTACTGCGGCTGAAGTGGCCTCGATTTTGAGAAGCAGCTTTAGAAGAAGTACTTTAAGACCGACCAACCACATAAGGAACACAAACTTTACAGAGATACCTCCAAATTTCAACGAAAACAACGGTTCGATGGGCGCGGAGTTTTTAGTGAATTCTGCTGCTCCGATAGCAGAATCTTCTCTGGTTAACGATGAAAATAAATCGAATAACGATAATCTTTCAACTGTGATATAGTTAGGTTTAATTTAGACAATTATTTGTTCTTTACTGTGTAAAGATATTACCTGCTTGTAATTCGTCTATGTATATGTAGATATTAGTACATTTTTAACTAAAAAACAAAAGTTAATAGTTGTTCTTTTTCTATTTATTTATTATATGTTTGTAACTTTTAAATGTCCAATATTGTATTATTGTATAATGTATAAAGAACTGATAGTATTAACTCTTATACAAAATAAAAAGACTAAACCTTTTATAAATATTGTATTTATAATAATTATTAAAAATTGATAATCTACTAAAAAAAAAAGCATGTGAAGATGTAAGACCAAGTTGGGTTTGTATTGGTATTGCGTTAATTATACTTTTGTCTACCATTTGTCTGTCGGCAAATGCTCAATATTGTATCTTTGTTATTTACATGGACAAAATTATGACATTCGAAATTCCGTGTTCGCCACTGTACCGTAAACACGGGTGGCTTTGGCTCACTTTCAAACTTCAGCTTAAAATTTTTGTGGTTTTAACAATCATAAACATTAAATTTTGTATACCAAAATTTGAGTCTTGAGTTGCTCTTTCATAATAACTAAGTTATAATATTACATAGGGCTGAGTTTCAAAAATAAACATTAAAAACAGGGTGTGCAAAGTTACCCCCTGGTTGCGGGTTACTTTGTCTCACAGTGTTTTTTCAGTATAAAATAAATGTAATATTATATCTTATTTTTATTAGACACGTGTTAGCAGCGACATATATCTATTGCAAGGGATTACCAATAAAAAAAATAAAAAATCGACCTGTAGTTAACCAAGGATCATCATTCCAATGGATTGCGCATAATATAGAAATTGTAACGCGTGTATTTCTAAGAGTTTTGCACTGATACGATATATACAATTTTAAAGTGTAATAAATCCAATTTCTTTCTTTAAAACACTGATTTTCCTGTAATATAAACTCAATAGAATCGCTCAATTGACAGGTTTAGACCAACAAATTATAAATGTTAATTTTATCGAGCGCGAAAAGATTTTTCATAAATGGGTTAAAGTCACCCGCGGGGTGCAAAGTCACCCGTATTTACGGTACTTATTTTGTCAATAAACTGCAAATATGCAATAAGTTTGTTTCTACGCACAGATATTTTACAAATCGCGTCTTAAGATCTTAAGTTTAGGGGACAAACATAAAAAAATGTATTTTATGAAAATATCTCTTTATTAGAGAAATTGTAGATACTTATTAAAAAAATTGTATCTTCTATAAAAAAACCTCCTAGGCTGTAAACATAAATTAGACCAATCAGGTAAAGTTTTTTACCTCATAGTCTGTAAACTTTGAGCTAAGCACAGAAAAACTCACTTATTAGCATTATGACATAAATAACTATTATCTACTCCTAGTATCTACTCCCTGCCTAAAAACTGGAATAATAAACTTATTATTCGCATTGTTAGGCATCAGTGATTAACCGATTTTAATATTTACAGATATTTGAACCAATCGGGTTTTAAATTGGGAGAAGACGACTTTAATAATATTTAAAATTTTAAGTACTTAAGTATTTGAAAAAGCACTTCCAAAACAACTCTTAAAACACTTTGAAGATAATGCTCTAATATTAAATTGTAAATTCTGATTTAGGACTGGTAAGTCTACGACTATGGTAGTATGTGGCTTAACTCGCTCGGACGCGTTTGAAGAGTAGGAGTTTGTAGCGTCTTGTGTGACCTATCTAAAGCTTTCAAATGCGTCTTGCTGAGCAGTAGCGTGCAAAGGTGATCGGGGTCCCCCCGGAAATTTTGAGCTGGGACCCCTTTGTCACTTATACCACCCAATGTGGTTCTCTACGGGGCCCCCCTAAGGTCGGGTCCCCCCCCGCACCGCGGGCCCTGCGGGGCCCGTCCTGCACGCCACTGTTGCTGAGTTCGTTTTTCAGCAACAGATTTTAACTATAGTCAATGTCAACAATGGGATCGGGCCTCACAGCAAACGGAAAAAATATAGAAGTGTGTAGGATGACTCCCCGTTTAAATACTAAATATTAAAGTTTTATCAGAACTGTATTGTATTGTGATTTGTTTTTATATTTTTCGCCTCTATACCTATGCACTATAGTTAAAGTCAAACTCAATGGTGTCTTAAAAGATATATTATTTTAATTTTTTATATTCAACAGAGAGGTAGAAACTCGACCCTGTCGAATGGTGCAGTCAGTTATGTCTCTAGAAATTATTGAAAAAGGGGGCAGTCCAATGGTGCAGCAACTTCGGATTCTTATTCTCTTCAAAGACATAGAAACTCAAGCTTTTCGAATTTTACTGGCAATGATTTTCGTTAATGTCGCCGAGAATTATAAAAAACAGCGCAATGCAATATCGCAACGGTTTCAAATTCTCTTTACTCTACCAAGTTATAAAAACTGGAGGGTGGAATTCAATATTCCAAGAAGTTTTGATCTTTTGATGGATGCAAGTATTTTGAATATTCTCATTTCTGCATTTGATTTTGTTGAAAACAGTTCCTTTCTTTGGTTTCTTTGTCTGATTTTTATTTACAGTAACAACTCAGGTATGTGAAGCACAGAGGATATGATGTAAAGTATATTTATGTATTATATAAAGTACCTATATTTGTATTAAACATTTTAGAGGTTATGTTGAAAAAACGATCGATATGCTATTAAACTTTAATAATTTAGTAATGAGGTCTGTTGGTAGACCCTGCACCATCTCCACTTGTATATGTTAGTACAGCAATATTTAAATCTGGTTGATCAAAAAGTACACACCAGTGCAGGTTATTGTATCATCTACGAAAAACGAATTAATAGCAATTATTCCTCTAGGAAAAATATTCAACACAGTTTAATTAATTAATAAAATGAAAAAAATCACAATCATGTCGTATATAGTTTTTTTCTAAGCATAAAATAATTTTTATAATTTTAATACTAGTTCAAAAGTCACAAGTCAAATTACGACCTCAATATTGTGGAGAGTATTGAAACGCTCGACTGACGAATACAACTCTATACCATGGCGAGGGTTTAGAAAACTGTATTCAAACGTGGCGTCATCCAATACACGTTTGCTGTGCTGCTTCCGGTGTTGATTGGTGTACCACAGGGATCAGTACTGGGACCCATCCTCTTTTTGTTGTACATATCTCGTTTTATGTTCCCAACACTGAACTTTTTCTGTTTGCGGACGATACAACCGCAGTAAGAACAAATAAGAACCTTGTCACTCTTGGAGAGGAATTGCTCGAGACGCGGTCGAGGCTCTAAACCTCTAAATATGTATTTGTTCTTCATTGTCTTAACGGATTTGTGTCAGAAACTGCCCTTCTGACCGCATATTATGCATTAATCTATTTTAGACTTTCCTACGCACTTCTTGCCTGGGGACACTCGCCAAGTAGTTAAATACTTTTTAAAATACAACGACAAGCAATAAGAATATTAAAAAAAACTTCGGTATCGGGATGACTCCAATAACGCTTTTGTTGAATTAGGTATTTTAACATTACCCTGTATGTTAATAAATCAGTGCCTTAACTATGTCAGGGAAACAGCAGTGATTTCCAAACGGGGTTGGAAACAAAAAATAAAAACATCAGAAATAGTGCAAACCTTCATATAAACTTCCATCGGCTTTCAGGAAGCAGAAACAGTATTGACTACTGGTAACCAACTTTTTTAATCTTCCCGTAGAGATAAGAAGCCTCTCAGTTAACAATTTTAAGAACACTGTGATATCATTTTTGTCAGTTGAGCATCTTCTTCTACTCGGATTACCATGCTTCGAATTTTAATCGTCTCTTTTCCTCGATCCTATATAGGAACATATGTTCCCTGATACTAACCATTTATAAACTCTGTTATTTGCCGAGGAGGTTTAATTTACTTTTCTGGATGCCTTCCAATTTTATTTCTCTTTATTCTTTTGCATCTATGATTATATCAATATATCGCTTTTGCAATGCAGTTTCGTTGTTGACTTCAGTAATATTTAGGTGTTGAAATATTTTACTGTTGCCTTTTTTATATGTGTGACAGTGTGTATTGCTGTGTATTAATTTTTTAATAAGTCACGAAATGTTGGCCATTGGTTATATATGCTATAGCATCCATCGAAATATGGTAACTTCATTCTTGGTAGTTGGATATTGGATACGGATACCGATTTTTTCTCGTTGAATTTTCGTAATCCAGTTTGTAGCTGGGTATAAGTAGATTTATACTGATTCTCAGATCTCAAATTCTTTAAAGCGATCATCTTGACTGTATGTTTCGGTGGGTTGCTGTTTACTATCGTAATTTCTTCAGTTGAACGGCGTGTATCTTCAAGAGCACAGTGAATTCACTGTGAGTTAACTCACAGTGAATTCACTGGGAATTCCCAGATCATATTCGTCATGCATGTTTAGTTCACACGCCGTGAATCTTAACAAATGAATGCACCGTGAATACACTGTGAGTAATTGTTTTTTATTTAACTTTATAAATATTATACCTACCTATAAAGACTGAAATGTAAAGAATTTGAGATAAAATTAACCATGAATGTTAAAAAATAATGATGCGCATGCGCATTCCCTTTGAGCTTTACGTGTGCGTTCACTATGAATTCAAGGGGCGGACGCATTTTTTATTAACCGTGTATTCACGCGCAAGCATTACTTTTCACCGTGCATCTACGGTGAATTTACGAATTTTATCTGGGAACACGCATCCATTTTTGCTTGTAGTGTAGTATATCTGTCTGCTGAATTGTACGGTTAAACAATTTACATCTTGTTCCCTTATCAGTTTTTCCTTTGGCGGTAAGGGTTGATGGTTGGTTGTACATTTAGTTGTATAAGGTGTTGTTTGTTAAATTGCTGTCGGAAATACTGTACTTAAGGTTTTTGATGCTTTTATTCTTTCTTCCCCAGGTAAGGTGGCTGCTTCTGAGCAACGCTGTATGTATATTTTCACTTATTCATACAGCCCGGGCAGTTGCTCATTGTACTTTAAAAGTAGTTGTGTTCTAAATTAGTTTTCCATTTTTTGTTCTCAGTATTCTTTAAGTGTTTTGAGTTTATTCACCAAATACAGTCTATTTTTCTGAATTTCTAGTCTTTTTTCATGTTGGTTAAGAGTTTTTTACCATTTATTTCGTTACATCCCTTAAACAATACAGCGGATCTTAGATCCGCAGCCTTGACAGCTATTACTCAGCTTGGCTTTATCCGCCTGTTAGATAATGTTTTATTTTAACTAAAATGTAAACTTTTATTTATACTAATACACAATAAAAAAATTTCAAAACCCTCTAGTAAAAAATGTAAGCCGTTTGGATCATGTTCATGTGAACTTTTTATCATAAATTGACTTTGGAACTTGGCACACTCTAAAAAATCACACGTCAATATGGAACACCGTGTAATAAAGATATTGTTGAGCCGAAATGGCTAAATGGGACACCCTTTGCTGGACCCCAACAATCTTAAGATTTTAACGAATATAATGTTTTGTATGATATAATCCTTCTAAAACCAGATTGCTGTGTTATAAAAATAAATTATATATATATATATATATATATATATATATATATATATATATAATATTAATAGTTGGTGTATAAAAAACAACTAAACTTTACTTAAAAGTTTTATTAGTATTACTTAGTGAACAAGGTAATTTACCTATTATATTGGTCAACACACTTATTATCTAGTATTTACATCTATTGCAATGTTGATAAGGTCGTTACCTAGGAAATAATCAGTGGCAACTATGTTAACCTCGTCACTCCATTCGTCTCTCACCCACTTTGTGACGTGTTTATTCACGTCATCAGCAAGTTGACGTAAATTGTTCGTTCTAAAAACCAAATCCAATGTTTGAGGTGTTAATTCTGCCATGAGAGCCCAAAGGGGGTTTAAGGTTATCCTTCTCTCTTTAATGGATCTTTGAAGAAAGTTTTTTAGTTCCGATACTTTTTTTCTATTGCCCCAGTACTGAACTAATGGATCCCATAACCAGTTGTTTTCTAAAAAATATGATTTTAGACAATGATTTACTGTCTATGTCCATGGTAACCAAAAAATATTTTATTATTTAAAATCAAAATTGTTTAATATTTTTTTATATTGATATGCCCTTAAAAGTTTTGAAAAACCAAACTTACCACTGACTGTTGTTCTATCCGAATAACAAATAATTAAATTCTTGTTTCTGGCCCATATTTCGTTCATGGCAGGTCCTTTACCTTCTTGTAAGCTTTCTGGAGCCAAAGCCAAGTCTCCAAGCTCTTGGTACACCAAATTAGCGAAGTTTTTGTGCAGTGTGTAGTTAAAATTGGACGGATATGGAAAACGGTGAAAATCAAGAATTACTATTTCCTTTGGAGCAAATTCTAGGAATTTTCTAATTTCTCTAAACAATGGAAGAACCTTTGTCACACGAACTAAATCATGATTAATAAAGTACCTTAAAAAAGTAAATAGATCATTAATTTTTTTGTACAAATAATTTGTATACCCTTCGTTTTCGTAGTAGCCTACTCTAAAGTCCAGATATCGAACACCATACACCAATTGGGTCCAAATATTTCTATCCTGATTGAGGACATAGTTTTCAAACAGCGGTGGAATACCACTAAAAGACCCTGAATTATGAGTTCCAGGTAGAATTAGTGTTCCTATTTTCTTTTTACCTAGCGTAGCTCTAAAAATAAAATTGTTAAAAATTATGTTCTTACTGTATACAAATTTTAGGAAAATCTTTCAAATTTAAACGATATTTTTCCTAGAATAAAAATGAAGTTTGTTTATGAAAAACATAATCTTCGATTTTAACTTAAATAACTCGTACATACAATTAATCATATACATTATTAATCATTATCATGTGCTTTAACAAATGTAATAAAATTTTGCTGAAGTAATTTATTTATTCTAATAAACTGTTACTAACAATTTAATTTTTAGATTTAGAGGGTATATTGTTATTTGCCACACTTTTAAGGCATTTGTAAATTGGTTAAACTTATTTAAGTAACTGTCGGCTAACTCTTTATAGAATCAAATAGACTCAAATTTTATTAAATTAATTTATTTGCTCTTTTTACTGCAAAAGCTTCTCCTAAATTTAGATTTATACGAGGGTGAGTTAAAAGTTTCTGGACTCGCATAGAAATGGTTTTACCATGCTTATTTTTTTAAGCGTGTTGAGCGAAGTAACACGTTTTTATAAAATTATCATGTCGCGGCGCATACTGTGCTAAAATTTTATAATGAAAAAGTTATAATTTTGAACACATTCACATCTGGCCATACAGTAAGGCTTCTCTTGGTCTTTTAAACTTAAACCTAAAGTCTTGGGAATGGTAATCACAATTTAACGCAAATATTATTTTGTATTTCGTCAAAAGAACGATTGAATTTTTTTACAAAATTCATCTTGCTTATGTTAGTGAAAAATATTGCATTTATAGCACAAACCTCTTGTTAATGGGCGTAATTAATTACTGGACTCGCATAGAAATGATTTTACCATGCTTATTTTTTCAAGCGTGTTGAGCGAAGTAACACGTTTTTATAAAATTATCATGTCGCGGCAACAACAACAAAAATGGCCGCCTTTAAACTCTGTGCAGTGTTGCAGTGATTTTTTGTATTTGTTGTTGTGTGGATTGTGGTTTCAACAACATTTTATAATGAAAAAGTTATAATTTTGGACACATTTACATCTGGCCATACAGTAAGGCGTCTCTTGGTCTTTTAAACTGAAACCTAAAGTCTTGGGAATGGTAATTACAATTTAACCGAAATATTATTTTGTATTTCGCCAAAAGATTTTTACAAAATTCATCTTGCTTATGTTATTGAAAAGTATTGCATTTATACCACAAACCTCTTGTTAATTGGCGTAATTAATTACCATTGGTGGGTACATAGTATGTACTACATACAATCTACATTTTACTATTGTATTTAATAAAATAAATAAAATTTTTATCTGACATCTAACAACTGTCAAGCAGTGTTTACCTAACTTATTTCCAATTTTAACTTAAAGCTCACTAGCGGGTTGAAGACATAAACAATCAGGGAATGTATTATTTCGTCTACTTTGGGTTGAATACAAGTATTTTTTAAAATGTTCACAAGCTTCTTAAAATATACTTTATTATATCATCATTTCTTTGTGAGGTCAGAAACTTTTTATCCCCCCTTGTAATATTGTCCAAATACCTTTGATCTGTACCTATTATCGTTCATCCAAGTGGGATGTATTCCAAAGCATTTTGAATCCAGAACTTCTTCTCTTTTTATTGAAGCAATCCAATAGGGAAAACAATGCGAACCAGGTTCCGGCCTTGAAAATGGGACGTTGTAATCCCAACTTCCTGGTAACCAAGGAATCCTGAATTTAATTTTTGTTTTGAAGTAACCACCAGGAAATGCCGAGGCATTGACTCTTACTAAAGGAATAGTACTTTCCTGAAATTTTCATGAATGATATTTATTTAATTTCTTTGGGTGATTTTAAAATGAACATTTTAGAATAAGAATACAATTTTATAAAAAAAATACCAGCAATACAAAAAGCGTTTTTATACTTTCTTTAATGCAAGAAATCAGCCATTGGAGACTATCAAATTTTGACCTAATGTGATAACCTCTGCACACCTTTGCATTTTTAAGAGATAGTTGTTTTTTAAAATAAAGTTCAACACCATTATTTTTTAATGGTAAATTTGCCCATAATAAAAGCCCATAAAAAAGTTTAAAAAATGAACAAAAATAGGTAACACTTTTACTTACATCTCGATCAATAATGTTTCTTGAATATAGATCGATGTATTGTGGATACACATCGTTTTCATTTTGACAATCCGTTATCCAATTAAGCTCTAAATAAGAGTGTATATCTGCGGATATCGTTATATGAACATTTCCACATTTTTTCCAAGCTAAAATAAAACATATGCAATTATGTCAGTAATTATTATATGAATGGTTGTAATTTCTTACCTTGATAGCAAATTACATGATGTATCACAATAAACAAACAGAATAAAAACCAAACACTAGCAGCTCCATTCATATTGTCCTATTTCCTACTTTCACCAATTGAGTTAACTCGCTATGATTTATAGAACGTAAGTGTTCGACATACCAAATATGAACCTTTTTTTAATTAAAAAAGCTTATAACATACAATTCACTACGACCCAACATAATTCTCACATCCATTGTGTTGATATGAGACTCGACACATTATATTAATACGTCACGGTTAACAATTTTATTTGTTGATTGTTTAATGTGCCGACCCAGCATTTACGTATAGGTACGTGGATTCCAATTTTATGCACTAAATTATTACCTCTATTGTTTGGTTTGCAGGATTTGCAGGAGACAAAAACAAAATTAAAAGTCAGGTCAACAGAACTCTGCCGATCCTTAACAGGAAACGTGTATAGCTGTATTCAAGTTGTTAACTTATTAACAGAGCGAAGGGGGTCAAAAATTTAACCTATTTATCTTTGGATGTCTAAATATATAAGTCACCTTAAGATTTTTGGAATATAATGTAAGTACATGTTCGTACTTTTTTCATTGTATTTTTAATGGATTTGTTCGTATGAAACAACAATGTACAGTACTCAGATGCAATTAACAGTTCATGAATACAAAAGCAGTTATGAATCAACACTACAGCATTTTTTAATACCTATACAGGGTGTCCCAAAAATAGTGCGCAAAACGTGGTTTCTAAAGACAAAAATAGGAAGAAATCTTCTTAAAAAGATAGGTCGGCAAATGGCCCCTAAGGGGGCTACTAAATATGTTTTTAATTATTAAAAATGTTAGAGATAAAATAATAAAATTGTGTATGCTCACTGAACTTTTTATGCTGAACTTAAAAATAACAAGATTTTTTTTTATTTATGAGTGTCTAACTCACCACGCACCAGCCGCTCTTATAGCAAGTAATGCCACAGACAGCGGTGACAACACAGCGAACCAGAGTTCTCAGCGACATCTACCGTCCAGAGGACGTAGCCAAACTATGTGTTAAGCACAAATCGCACTCTGCAAATAAACAACATAGACGAAGTAACTTCGCTTTTGGCTCAAATGATATTTTAGCCGTAGGGTGGCTCGCCCAGCGTATGATCAGCATGGTTTTCCTACTAGAGTATTAGTGCCTATCAATGTGTGAAAATGCCAATCACCTCGCTCACTGTGCTTCGCACAAGGCACCGACAGACAGCCTGTTTCGGAATTTTGGTCCCTATCAGTGTCGGGTAGCCTTTGGCACAGAATATGATATTCTGTGCCTGTGGTCCGAAACAGGCTGTCTGTCGGTGCCTGGTGCGAAGCACATTCGAAATAAAATTATAATAAATCTATATATCGTCGCCTTCAGGAGAAAATTGCTTAACTCCATGTTGTAAAATTTTACAGGAGGAAAGAAAAACATATTAAAGGTGTATTGGTGTATCTCCACATTACCGCCAAAAAATTGTTTAATGGAAAATTACGTATCTCCAATCTGTACTTTATGTTAATAAAAGTAACCTTAAATTATTCATGGTACCTTAACTTTACACACTATACAATCTTTCATACTTACGTGAGTATGAGTATGAGTATAAGAGACGTATAACCAGCCCCATTTCCTCTTGACTCTCGAACCCCGTACAGGCCTATGTTTACTTACGCCGATTTTTGTTCTTCCCCATCAACTGCACGGCTTCACCCGTGTTTGCTGGGTGCGAATGTCCATTGCGTTCAGTACTGTCCCCTATTTGGGGCTCGAGAGCGAGAGGCGAATAGTTATAATAGCCATTCCCGGGTTCGCCGAGCCTATGCTATACGCTCGGTGGGGTATGGATGAGGGACGGGAGGGAGTTGGTTTTTGGGGGACAATTACGCCGACTTAAAACTAAGTACGACGCGGAATCCCCCTAGACCAGTCGATTAGTATTACTCCAAACATTTGGGATTACTATTTGGAGTTGGGGAGTTGTTATTTCGCTGCAGGGGTGTAGTTTCCTAGTCAAGGTCTTTGTCTTGTTCGTTATTGTCATTGTCCGTGTCCTGGTCAGATAGTTCCTGCCCTTGGTAAAGTGTGTCAGTTGTTTTTAATAATTTTTGTCCCAAGCACGTTTTGTGGTAGAGTTCCGTCTTTGTTTATCAAATTCCAAGCGTTGCATTTATTCACTAGTCAAACAAATCACAAGCGCGATTATTCTGTTGTCTAATGTTTACAAATCTCGGGTTTGGCTATTAGGCCCTTTTTTTTAATGTGTTAGAATTAAGATCAATGTTAGTTTACTCTGTCAGTCCAGTGTTTATTTCGGTCTCGATTGGGACCGCCTTACGCATTTGCTGTTGACAGACTTATTGCCCCACGCCGCGTGCCCTTCATAGGTTTTAGAGATATCCCAATAAACACTTTAACGATACCTATCACCTAACATTGCCCGTGTAAGAATTTTTAACACTTTTTAATACAATTTTGCAATGATAGTAATTAAAAACGAAACAATTGTTTAAAGTTCTTAACATAATCATATTTTAAAGTTATTTTAACATTTTCAAGTAAAATAAATGTTATGTTTAATGAAATGAATACGGGCAATGTTAATGGAGACAAATAACGGAAAATGCTTGCCGGGATCTGCCGTATTTATATTGCAGATTTGTATCAGGTCATGCATACTCTTAAAGTAAAACTTATCAGATTTTTCCCCTTGCGGATGGCCACCTCCCCTCTTCTCCGACCTCCCCCGTCCGTCCGGTGAAAAGCCTCCCATGACAGGTGGCACCCAAGTCATTCATATCACCCAACACTCCACTCCTCAATGACCGTTACACCATTTAGCTTGCACTCCATGAAAATGTTTGTTTCACTTATCAGTTCGCACCCCTTTTTTTTTAATTGTTGGTTTCATCTTTAAACTTTTACGTTTCAAGAGCTATCCCGCACTCGAGTCGCGTGACGCGACTCGTCTTCTCGAACGCTGGAGCCGAACTGTGATACAATCTTTCATACTTACTTTTAACAAATTTCACTTTGGAAAACAATGGCTTTACAGAAAAAATAACTAGGCAATAACTTATACTTGTCAATGGCACTGATTTGTATTCTGGAGTTAGGCATTATTCCCTGGACGCTCCTCCACGATTGGAGATACGTATATTTCTTTTTCTAAATTTAAAATTAACGGTTTATTTTAGGACTTCTGTAACTTGCATATAAATTAGTTACAGTTTTATCTAATAGATGCCACTAAAATACCATTTTAATGAAAATGTGGAGTTACGTGATTTTCTCCTGAAGGCGACGATATATATATATTAATTTTTTTTGGTATAATTTTTTCGCGAAAATCGAAGAAGACACGTTTTTAAAAACACGATTTAAACTTTAAAACTCAAAAATCTTGACTTAAAATGCTTCAAATATTTTCAATATATTTTTTTCGAAAAGTACATTCAAAAACGAACATTTTATATAGAATGAACATTTTGATTTGGAGCGAAAAACAAAAAAAAGACGTTTTTTTGAAAATTTGATATCTTTTGAACCAGTGGTCAAAAAAATCTCAACATTTCCTGAGAAAGCTCTTTCAAGGAGTACTAAAAATATAAAAAAATTGGAGGAATCATGTTGACAACACTTTGTTGCTATGGTATTTTTTTAATACAAACATAACATTTATTATAAGCTGTCAGAATGTTTATCATAAATTTGAAATTCATCCTACGTTTTGAAAATGAGTTCTAGCGAAGAAGACCTGCCGCAAGATATTGCTGAAGAGGCAAAAATAGCAATTAATTTCCTTTGTTAAAAATCGAAAGAGCGATATGAAAATAAATATAGATTGTTCAAAGAATGATTGGACAAGCGCGGAGTAAATCTATTTCTACAAAATCAAATAGGGCCAGACAAGGTACAAAAACTCTTGCTAATGTAAAATTGTTTTAAAAAAAGAGGGAGGAATTTTTTTTTCCTCCCGGGGAGGAAAAGAGGCATTTTCCTCCCTTGCTCGGGGGTGGAAAATTAAGTTTTCCAGTAAGGTAGTAGAATTTTTTTTTAAACCATCCGATTTGGCGTGGAATGCCCCATATATATATGATACTTTCATGATGATGTTTTTTGTTGGTGCAATTTAATCTGGGATATCATTTTATTTTGTAAGAAAATTTTATGAGAAAATTATCCGAAATAGCTTCAGGCTCAGCTGAACTAAAAAACTTTTTTAAAAGAAAAAATGCAAGTTTATTTATAAATGCTAGTTCTAATGAACCTTTTTACTGTATTTCTAATATTTGGTAAAAATTTACATTTTTATAAAAACAGCACAAAAAGTCTTTGTTTATGGGACACTATAATTATCCAAATCCATAATAAGATCTGGTCGTATATTGTTCCAATTTTCTTCTATTAGCATCTATGGCAACATTAATAACATCATTTCCAGTAAAAAAGTCCGTGGCAATAACTCTTAAATTATCCGCCCTGTGGTACTCCCTTAGCAGTGGAGTTAACATTATGTTAACACTATCTGCAAACTTCTTAAGAGTTACTGTCGGATGAGTTATGGCATACGAAATGGATAAAGTTAGTTCTGCACATAACACATGGATTTTGCCATCTGCCTGTCTGGATGATATGTATTTTATGTAACTTAATAATTCTTTGGGATCTTGAATGTTACCCCAGTCCCGCCTTAATCCCTCCCATAGCCATGGAACACCTAAAAAAATAATTGTAAGGGTAATATTGGTTTATTTAGGACTTTACTTACGAGCACTTTGCATTCTATCGTTGTAATTAATAATAACTCTTTGATTTATGCTCCAAAAATCCTTAATCCTTAAATTGTAGGTATAAATGTCATGGGGTCGCATAAATATATGTTCTCCAAGGTACTCAAGCAGCAAATCTTGAAGTTTTTTGTGCATTTCAGATGTAAAATTATTCGGATACACAAAGCGATGAAAATCTAGAATAACAACTTCGGATGAAGCTTTCATCAAAAACCTTTTAATACTGTCCAGTTCTGGGGCTAGTTTGGTACACCTGGCTGATGCATGATATAAATAAAATCTAAAATATTTTGATTTAATAATGTAATTTATTACCAATAGAGCCGGATTTAACACGGAGAACCCAATGGAAAATATTTAATTTAACAGAGATGTGGAAATTGATTTGGATACAAAAATTGTAGATCTAATTTTTTAAAACGATAGGAAAAGATAAAATAAGAACTGATGAAAAATGTTCTGCTAATTTTACAAAATATAAACAATTTGCAAGCTAAGAGTTTAAATTGGGTAAATATTTTTCCAGATTTGGAAAAAAAATAAAGGCTTTTACAAAACATTGGCTCTAGGCCTTGAAACAAAAATCCGACCCTGATTACTTACTAAACCTCTTACTCGTTGTTGCGAAATCCCACTCTAAAATCAAAATATCTTATTCCTGTTACTAGTTGATTCCAGATATCACTATTTTGAGTTAAAATAAATCTTTTAAATAACAAGTTTATTGATCTAGTTGTAAATGCTCCAGAATCATGTGTGCCTGGAATCATCATATCAGATAAAATTAAATCACCAAATCTAGAAGACAAACAAATAAACACAATGTGTTAAATAAGGTTTACATTTTACTCCTTCATCCAAGTTGGTTCAATTTTTAAACATTGTTTATCCACAATTTGACCATTCAGAAAGGATACAACTTCATACGGAAAACAATGTTTTCCAGAAATTTGGTAATCACTGGTTTTGCTCCAGTTTCCCGGCAACCCATTGTTATTAAATACATGTTTTGTTTCGAAGAATCCACGACGATTGTTAACGGGTATTTCTTCAAGGACAAAACTATTATCCTTAAAAAATATTATGATTTATAATTTTAATTTGTTTATTTTACTTACAGTATTTATAAGTCTTATGATATTTGGATGAGGTTCGAATGTAAAATCCCAATTAACAACTAATGATTTGTGGGTAGCCGATACGGTTATATACAGAGGGCAACAGTTATATCCTAAAATATATTTGATTTAATCAACCTAAAGATAACATTTATATTAGTGGCATGCTGGCCCACCAACAATTCTCCCAGGGCGTCTAGTTTTTGTTGGCATATTTATTCGGGGGGGGGGGAAGTTGAAAAATTGTTATTAAGAAGTAAATAATTTTTTTCAATTTTAATACAAGAACAACTTAATGGCCTTAAGGATCAACTAAGTAGAATTAAAGTTCGATCTCAATGTACACAAAACATTGTTTGGGCTTTTGGCATAACTGAATACAATTAAGTAACAATGGCGATTATATAATATTATTATTTATTAAATAATATATATTTACATCAATAAGACAGAATAACAATAATAGGTAGAAAAAAAATATGCCTAAAGGTGTAGAGAATAAAAAGAATTACTTACCATAAATAAAACTGATTAGCCCAGGAAATAGAACCACCACGAATAAAAACTTCATTATAATGACTGAACTTAACTAAGTGTTTTGGAGAATAATAGTGACGGGATTTACACTTCGTGCATAATGCATTATAAATTAAACGTTTACTTAATTAGATTAATGACACAAAATATTTACTTTACGAAAATATTAGTTGCAATGACGGAAATTAATCAACTAGCTATATTTGTGTATTTAAAGATAAAAATAATAAAATTTAAATAAAAGCCAATAAAATATTAATTGAAATTATATCTAAATATACTTACAAAGACAAATAATAAATTGGCTCTATATAATTCTCTATAAAATACTTTTGCAATTCAAAAATTAGATTATTATGTTCAAGGATAATAGTTTAATTATAGTAAACAAACAAATGAAGGATTTGTAGAAAAAAGTATTTTTATAATAACAAGGAATGTCTTAATATTTTATTAAATAAATAAAATTGATAAAAATATGTTATGATCAGCGCCGGATTTAATTCTATATAAAATACTTTTGCAATTCAAAAATTAGATTATTATGTTCAAGGATAATAGTTTAATTATAGTAAACAAACAAATGAAGGATTTGTAGAAAAAAGTATTTTTATAATAACAAGGAATGTCTTAATATTTTATTAAATAAATAAAATTGATAAAAATATGTTATGATCAGCGCCGGATTTAAGGGGGGGGTCTTTGGGGTCTATATACCCGGGGCGCAAGATAATAATATTAACTAACTGTTTTATTAAGTGTTAATACAAAAATTCTTTAAATCACACCCATAATTGTAGCCATATTATTATTATCTATGCATAGTACATATTATATGTAACATATACTAGTTTTGCAGAAATTAAGAAAACGTAATTTTGGAAAAGCAAGATACTGCGAAAAACTTTGAAATTAGATTAAATTGAGCGACCAAATAAAACTATTTTGACTTAAACTTGTATTCTGTTCCTATGCGACCTACAGAAAAAATAGTGAGAAGCCAAAAATTTTGAGAAAAAAAAGGTTGGTTTAAAAAAATTCTTGAGCGACCTCTAAAAAATTTTTTTCTGTTGAAACTCAAAGACTTCAAACTTATTTTTTTATGTGATCTACAAAATAAAAAAAAATGTCAACAAAATACTTCAACCCAAATGATTGAATGATATCAGGTGATTTGTTTCTTAAAATTAAATGTTTCTATCGTCATAACAAGTCATTAAGAAGCTTCCTAACATTGTTTCTTACTAGATTGAATGAAATAATTTTATTTTAATATATAATAAACTTGCTGCAATAGAAATTTTAAATTAAATAATTAAAATAAATTGACGACCCGTCTGACGACGACACAAACGATATCGTCATTGTTGGTCATGAAGCAATTGGTGAACGCCATGGTGCGTCACCACATTTGAATTAATTGGTAATATCCAATCTAGACAAAAAGAGCACCTAAATTGGAAAAAAGTCCCGTGCATATAAACTTTTCAAATATTGGCGTCAAAAACTATTTAATCCTGTTGTATTATACACAAATAAAATCCACATTTAGTTTTATTTTCGTGTTATGAAGAAATGTACGATAATGGGCGTTTTAAAGGTAAGAGTAGTAAAACTAATTTAACAAAGGTCTGGTATTCAAATCTGTGTGTTATTTTGTTGAGCGGAGTTGTGGTTCCAAGCTATGGTCGGAGCCAGGGGCGTACCGAGGCACACTTTTTGGGGGGGGGGTGGAGACGATAAAAAAAACCAACTTATTTTTTTATCGATACTTTAGTAGTAATAGTGAAAATTTTCAGTAGTTTTATCATGAATGTAAAGTGTTGTAAAGTTTAGATAAAGAATGTCTTTACCTACCATTAGCATGCTCTTTTGAAGTCTCTATTTTTTTTATAAGTGGATTATCCGGAACAGTAACAATTTTAATTTTAACCAAATTTCCACCGTGAATATTTTCCTCGTGCATTTTTTTCTAGTCCTTGTTAAAGACAGATCCACATAATGAGCATTTTACTAGAACTCGGCCCGGTCTAGCTTTCTTTTCCATATTAAAAAAAAATTAATTCCTATTTATTGACACTAGTTTTACTTAGCTTAGATAAGCTTCAACTAATTAATAATTTAGAAAAATAAGACGCCGAAAATTGCGGTGCGTAAAAAGAGTCAAACGCCGCCAAAACCAAAAATAAGGTTGACCAATACAATTTTCTTGCCGGTAACGATTATAGATTAAAAATTATAATTTTGTAATATGTAGTTTAAAAATTATATTTCATTTTATTTATTGTGATGGGTTGGTTGGTAGGGTAGGTATACCCAACCAACCGACCCAAATACTATAGATTTTGCCAACCGTGTTTGGATTTGGAACCAACTGCCAAGACTTTGGGGGGGTGACTCCCCCCCCTACACCCCCCTTAGGCCCGGCCCTGGTCGGAGCAATGTACAGCGCACAGTGCACTGCAGTGGTAGGAATTTCAAAAATCGCGGACAAAATTAAGGACACGTTATTTTTAGCTATTTTAGGGTTATTGTGGTAGTAAGTTTATTTTTTAATATTAATAATAATAATATTAATATGTATTATAATTGTGTACAAAAATTTACAATATTTATACTTACAATTTAAAAGAGTTTGGCTTTGCCAGTATTCTAGAATATATTTTAGAAGAGTGGATGACTGGTGAAGCGAATAAAAATCGAGGGGTGTAATATCGGGAGACATCGGAGGCCATAGTTCAAGAGGACTGTTTACCCTATCCAGCGCATAGTAGCTGCAGATACATATCCTATCGCACATTAAGTGGAAGATTTTCAATTGCAAAATTCCCTATCGAAGAAGTTAACTAAACGATCAGCATTCAATGATTCATTAAAGAAAAAAGGACCAATTATTAGGTTTTCTAAAATCCCACTCCAGACAATGACTTTCTGGGAATATTGATCTTTACCCAGTGAGGATTATCTCTGGCCAGTTTTGAGACGATACCACCTCATTAGTGGTGAATGTAATCCTCTTCAGAAAATGTCTGTCATGACATGCATTTAAAAAATTTAAAATTTAAAAAATTACCTTGGTCAATGAAAGGCAATAGTAAAATGTTTAGAAAAACCCAATTTTTTGTAAAATCTGCAATTTCAATCTCAATCTCAAGAAAAAAGATTAAGGATGTATTAAGCTTTTTTTTTTCATTTATTAATCTAAACAAAACTATGTTTAATAATTTTTTTTTAAATCAAAATCTCTGGACCATTTTTTATATAATTTAATACCTAAAATGTTTAAGGTTGATTTTCACTAGAGCTAGAGTGTATTGCGATTTATCTTACTATCTCGTAAAAAAATCGGTAAAAAAAAAGTACTAAAACTGCATTATTTTGCATATTTAAGGTAAGCATGTAGACATTTTAAGCAAGGGTTAGGTATTTTAGTCATTTTACTAAGGTAGAAAAGGCAAAAATGATGTTGGTTTAATTAACTTAAAATACTCAAAATACATTTTGTACTAAAAATGTTTAACGGCCTATCAAAAAATTGGTAGGCATTTTTACCTAGAATCATGTCTCTACTAATGAAGTATTATCAAAATAAAATGCATAAGGAGTGAATTTTATTACCTGAATAGGCCATTGGAATGTTTTTTTAAAGTGGAATAAATGCGTATACAAAAGGGTATAGATCTTAATGGCGAATACTTTTAAAGACTATTAGCCAGTTGTTTTCAATAATCTTTTATTTCTTACAGTTTATAAACATTTTTAGTGTTTTTTTCGTATACACCTTATTGTATAAAAGTCTAATTATATAATATGTTAAGCTATTTTAATTTAGAAAACATTACCAATAATTAACTACCCAAGTCGATCGCCTAGCTGACCCAAAAAAGGATTCTAAAAAAAACTTAAATTTGGAGGTATAGTTTTTTAATATATATTTAAATAGTCTTCTAACCGAACAATCAACATGAGATTTGTTTTTAAAAACAATTTGGTTATTTTTACTATGAATATGATTAAAAACATAAAAGATTCAAACTGGTTTGGCTAAAATTTAGTTAAAAATAAATAAAAAACTAAAAATAAATTGTTTTAAGATTTTAAACGGGTTGTTCGGTAAAAATATAATTAAAATTAAATATTTTACAAAATAAGGTAACCTACTGACTATAAGAATCTGTACATTTGAGGTAGAACAAAATCAGTCCTATTGTTAAAATAAGGGCAAACAATCTTTGGATACAAAAAATAAGAATGTATTTTTAATAATAAAGAAAAACAAAATAAATAAACTAACGAACAAGAGACCTTGCCCACAATTTAACTTACACTTAGGTATGCAGATATATAAATAAAAAAACATATCTACAATAAATATTTCTATGTACAATAGTTTATCGTTCCTGGAGCAACTTTTTACATAATAAGTCATTTTGATACTATTTTTAACATAACAAAATTAAAAACAAGTAATTATATACATTTAGTACAAAATAATTAATTAATTAAAATATATACAGAGCATGTACGATTTTTTATATTTACGTATGTTTTGTTAAAGCATAACGTGTAACTGGTTGCCTATGTACAAAGTTTACATCTAACTGTTTTGTTGCGTTAACAAATTTAACAACTCTGAATGATCCATGTTGTTTAATGTATCTATATCTATACCAAGAGCATTCGCCACACTATCCATATCTAAACCGAAAGACTTCAGCAAGTCCAAAAAGCCCATTTCCTCTCCTGTGTAAGGATTCTGTAGCCTCGGGCAGGAATGGTTGCACTGCGGCCAGGAACACCTTTCCATACGTCTGTGTGCGCAATGACGCCCTTGTACACGTCTTTGAGAATGAAGAACTGACCGTTGATTTCTTTTGTCTAAAGAACTTAATGTGTTTGAGGTGATTGGGGTAGTTTGGTTAGCGTTGAGGAAGGATTCTTGTTGAAAACGATCTAAAATTGAAATTTTTTTTATAAAATCAAAATTATATTTTTTTAATAAACGTACCTTTTTTCTTTTTCCCTCCTCCTCTTCGGTTTTTTCTATGCTTCTTCTTCCTTTTTTTGTTAACCTCCATATTATCTGCAGTTACATTAATCTTCACACCAGCATCCGCGTTCTTTAGTTTTCTATTAGAACCAGGTTGATCCATAAACATTTTATTGTTCTTTAATCGTTTCAGTCTTCTTTTACCGGTTTTTTGTTCCCAACAATGCAGAGCTTCCGCAATAGAAATATCGTCAATTTTAACGTTTTGCCAATCGCGTTTCGTCAATACCGAATGAGAAATACAAGACGGTGCAAAAACAGCTGATACATTCTCAAAACTGTGTCGAAGTGCATCGCCCATTTTGTGGATGTAGTCCCACTGTTGTTTGGTCACAGGTGTACCAACATTGTCGGCGTTCATCTGAGCTTCGTCAAACAACCATTGAAAAACAAAGAGTTCAGCTGAAATACAAAAAAATATTTATTCTCCATTGAATAAACCTGATTTGTTTTGAATGAAGTAAGGATATTATCAGCGATAATTTAAACTTAAACAATGGTTGACAAGCGAGTCAAGTTTTTTATCAGCTGCTCTCTAAAAATTAATTATTCAAAAATGACTAATTTAATAGTTATTAGTGGCTGCGTTTTCACTTGTACCATGGTTAACCATGGAATACCATGGTATCCCAAAATTTAACAACCAATTCCTATGTAAAATTGTCCCCTGAATCCGAAAATGTCGTCAAAAGTTAAAAAAGTAAAACAGTTTTTGGGATATAATCAATTTACCCATTAATATGGAATTGACTATATCTTAAAATCTGCTCCACTTTCATAATTTTTGACGGTATTTTCGGATTCAGTGGACAATTTTAAATAAGAATTGGTACAAGTAAAAAAGCAGCCACTAATAACTATTAAATTAGATATTTTTGACCACAGTTCTGTATTTTTGACTAATTCATTTTTAGAGAATGAGTAATAATAGGTTTTATCTTCAAGTGTTTTATAATTTAAGCTTTATTATTATCAACACACTACCATAGTTATTATAATAATTGATGTAGGTAAGTACGTTTCAGGTATCGTTTAAAAACTTAAACTTTGCTTTAAAAAAAAATGTTGTACGACATTAGGATGAGACGTGTCTTTGTGTGGTTCGTTCAATTGTAGGGCTCTGCTAACGCGGCCTTATGACATAAATAACTATTTTATTTGCCAATTAATAATATATAAAACATTATAACGCCTCTATATAAATCGATGTTGAAACAAGGTTGTGCTCTCTAAAAATGAGTTAGTCAAAAATAACTAATTGTCATAGCGAAAAAGCAGCCACTAATAATTCTTGTCAATACCAATTTGTATTCCGAACATTTAGCAGTCAATTTTCATGTAAAATTGTCTCATTAATCCAAAGATGTCGTCAAAAGTAGAACAGTTTTTTACTTATAGTCAATGTTCCGTATAATATGAAATTGACTAGAACTCTACTTTCATAATTTTTGACGGTATTTTTGCATTCAGGGGACAATTTTATATAAGAATTGGCTGTTAAATATTGGGAATACCATGGTATCCCATGCTTAACCATGGTAGAAGTGAAAAAGCAGCCACCAATAACTGTAGTAACTAGTCATTTTTAACTAATTTATTTTTAGAGAGTAAATTGTATCAACACAAAATAAAACTTACTTTTTAAATGCGGATAGATTCTGTATCCAAAAAAACATTTCCAAGGGTCATTGGGATACTCCTCCCGACATCTCCTGGGAACTTTTCCTTTCCAATATTCTAGGCCCTTTCTACTTGCTTCTACAGCTGGTATTAAAGCCGTGCCATGGGTATAAGGTGCCCTGTCAAGAAACCAACCGGAATCCGTAACACCTCTAACGTTAATTTGCTTTAAGTTGTATTCTTCATGTAGTAACTCTCTTACGTTGTCCAAATTTAACATAACTCCAGTTCCACCCGCACTACTACCAGTAAGAAGTAGATCAGTACTATTTTCCAGACCCAATGGAATTAAATCCTTTATCGCTTGTTGTACTATGGATGAACCCATAAAACTAAACATTTCATTTGTTGATTGGATTCTAGTACCACTCCAAATATCGCTGGTACAGTATGGAATGAACACGTGATTCGCGTTCCACCAAAATGGATTTTCTTCCATATTAGCAGACAAAATGCCTCCAACTAAAAATAACGTTAAGTAAGATGGTGAATTTTTTAAAAAAAAGGCGACATACTGTCTCTGGTTTCAGGCCATTGTGATGAAGTCATGTAGTGTCTTTGTCGTAGCCACCTGGTTCTACAACTATGATGGTCATAACAATACCATCCACCTTCCAAGAAAATTATCCATTTTTTACTTGTGTAGGATTTTCTGAGGTAAAACCTGCAAATATAGAACTAAAATAAATAATTGCTTTTTTTAAATATTAATAATTTTATTTATATTAATGTATAATCTAATAGTAATATTATAATATATTTTGTAAATGTAATACTGCATAACAAACAAATTTACAGTATGTAATTATAAATTAATCATGTTAAAAATAAAACAACAATGTCACTCTATATTATAATTATAAACATTAATTATATTATAATTATAAACTTTAAATTTATAATTCACTTACCCAGATTGAGATCCGTCATTACAAGTAATTGATCTGTTCGACAGGAAAACCTTTTTCAAAGCCCTTACGTCGTGACCTCTGGTTTCTGAGTTTTGTACGACCCTCTGAATCGTATTTGAATAAATTGGCTGTTCGAAAGAAACATCGTTCACTGTGTTTGGAAAGGCTGCACAGACACCTAACCATATCGAAAAAATCTGAAAAGAAATATAATTACATATAATATTATTAAAACAAATATCTTTATGCGCAAATTTCTGTAGACCCTGTATAATTTCGAAATGATTAAAAGGAAACTTAAAGAGTAATAATATAATTGAGCCTTTGTGATTTAATGATTCACCGTTGAACCATTCAAAACAATATACACAACAGCCTTCTTTATAAAAAACGAAATGCCGAACAATGTTAAACTTTGCCGCCTTTGATGTGAACCAGTTTCTCTTTAAATATTTCATTTATAAGGAGATATCTTGAGTATTTAAAACGACGGTGCTGTTATGATAATTTCGTATACACTAAGGACCGTTTAAAATGAACCGATGGATTTTTAAGATGCTCTCAGGGCCGGATTTAGAATGCCGAAGCCCTAGGACCAGTTTTTTTTAGGAGTCCTAGCATTTGTTTGTCATCAATATCTCCTTTTCGAAGTTTAAAGCTAATGAAGCTTTGAAAAAGGTTATTAAAATTTATATTGCATTGTAGACTGTACATTATTTATTTAGATATATTCTTCCATTTTCTTGTCATATTGTTCTGAAAAAGTGTAGATAAGTAGCTAAATCAATTTCCAAGTCTCGGGTATTGGAATGGTCAGATCAGATCATTCACATTGGGCTTCGACTGATCCGGCCCTGATCTCAGTAAATTAGTTTTGGAAGACGTGTAGGTACATTTTTATTTTGGAAAAAGGAGTTTGTGTATATTAAATTGGAAAACAATGCAGTTGCATTGAAACAAAAATAATATTCTTGATATAAAAGAGTAAATATAATAACTGTAACGTATTTAGTCTATCGTCGGACATCGAACCAAGGCTCTTTTACGATTTGCCGCTAATAGACAACATTTACAATTATTACAAATCGTTACGTGATTTGTAGTCTTTCTTCTCGCAAAAGCTAATACCAATTTACTGAAAGGTTTTTTCCAGAAACTGATTACGGAATTTATTTCGCTTCTGATTGACATTACCGACTATCCTAACGATAATTGTAATAATACTTTCCTGTTTGTTAACAATTTTATAGAATATTTAATGTTATTGATCCAAAATCCTTTTATCATTTTTTATTGGATATTTCGGCGATATTTGATTAAAAAATAATTAAATATTTCAAGAATTTCGAAGTATCTACATAGTTTTGTTGGTTTAGCGAAAAGTTTCAAGCTATTCCGACTCAGCTGCTCGAAACTCCCCAGGAATTTTATTTTTCATTACGCAACAAATGTATCTTAATTCTTATAAATTATTTAAATGCCTTACCATTATCTGGTGACATAAAAGGAAGCCGCCACCTCGTAATGTGACCAAAGCTAAAATTATGCAAAAATACTGAATTGAATCTTTATTATCCAATTTAGTTTGGGCCCTGGATATTGGTGTAAATTTACAAACAGGAATTTTGAAGATATTGGAAAAATTTTAAACATACATTTTTTGTGCACGCTAATCTTCACAAATTGGTTCAGCCATTGTAATGGCTGTGGTTTTTAGTGATAAGCTTGAGCTCACATTTAGTGATTGTTTCATTTAAATCGGTTGACAAATAAAAAAGATAAGTAAATTTTTAACTAAAAACGCTGCTCAACTGCTTTATTGACATGCGCTGACTAAACGATTCGATATACGTGAAAATAGTATATCATTGCAAAAAATTAGGTATAACATACACTAGGTATTATAAAAATGAGATTTGTTAACATAAGTTTGTAGTTTGTTAATTTTATTTTGTAAAATTTTAACATAATTTTTTGTATAAAACGTTTGTAATTATTTTAACAAAAGAAAATATTTAACCGAAAATTTTGTAATATGCAAATTTGTAAGCATTTTGTTAATTTTCAATGTTTACAGATTATTTTGTTTATGTTTAACAAATTATTTCGTTCAAAAAGTACAGGTGATTTCAGGCAGCTAATCAAAACATTTTCCACTAACTTTTTTATCGTATTACATCCAACAATACGCCTACTTGATTCTGATTCGTAACGTGTTCTTAACAACTAGTGTTAATAATATATTACCAGAAATCTGTTATTATTGTTATTCAGATTCCTTATACCTATTTAACGAGTGTGCGAAGTGCGAAGTATCCGAAAAATGATGCCATCACTCGTTTTCGAACTAACATTAGGGGATTTGTAAAGTAGGTTAAAGTTACGAAATACATCAATAGTACTAAATTTCTTTATAATTTGATGATTTCAGAATGGTGTGTTATTTAATTGTGTTAATATTTTTTTTGTGTTCATGAAATAAATTATTAAAGCATCATTTCCTATCAAAATTCTTTTCATTTATAGATAGATACTTTATTTCATCAAAAACAATTTACATGAAGTGTCACAAATACTAATATAGAGTATATATAAAATTAACTTACAGACTAAACAATAAAATATAAAATAAGAAAATAAATAATTTCATTAAAATTTAAGGTCTAAAAATTCTTGAATTGAGTAAAAAGAATTGCTAAGTAGATGTGATTTTAATACAGTAATTTTTTGTTTTTCTTGTAAGAGATTCCAAGACTCAGGGAGATGGTTGAAGATTTTGATTCCCCAGTAGTCAACGCCCTGCTGTGTTCTTTTTTTTTAGTGTATTGGTATATGTAGTTTATTTCTGTTTCTCGTATTTAAGTTCCCAATTTCAGACAAATACTTTTGCTAAAGGGTCTACAAAAAGGCTTGTAAAAATAAGGTCTTTTTGAAAATTACAAGAATTATGGTTGAATTATTGACATCAAATTTTGTTTATAAATGTTCAATATGTAATAATTACAAACTACTTATTTACTTAGTTAATAGATAATAGTTTATTGTAAACGTAACATAAAGTTATGTGGACCTGGATTAACATTAAATTTATTTGTTTATTATTTGGTTGAAATTAAAAATATTTTTTACGGTGTAAAATTTTAAATAAATTTAGTTCCAATAAAACTACTGTTTATATTTTTCTTTGTATTTAATGAATATTTCCTAAAATATTTCAGTAACTTTTAAAATAAAGGTTCTAATTTAGGCACAACAGTAATGAAAGAAAAGTGATGATTACATTTAGTTGAAAATATGTTGAAAGTGCATTACTTTACTACTAATTGATTTAGTACATATAATGTACAGTTAAGCTGGACATATTTACGACCCATCAAAAAATAATACAAAAGGTTAAAAATTACCTGGCGCACCACCATAAGGATGCCGTGGCAGAGATTTCTCTTGAAAAGTTATAAAATCGAATTCCTTACGGTTAAGACCTGGTTATTACGAGCGTTATAAATCTGTGATAAGTTTATAGTTCTTAAGTTCCGCAAACTCAATAGGACCGTAAACCAGGAACAAACGGTTCGTATTGAAAGTATACACTTGACTCTACCTGAAGTTGTAAATTCAACACCTGCCAATTTTTTTGATCTTTGCGAATTTGTCACAGCTTTTTTTTAGTTCTCGAAATGTTACATAATGGGGATAAGGTAAAGAGTTCTCGGTTTTTCTTGAATTTTATGTTGTGGGTCTTGTTGAAGAAGTGTTTTTAGATATCTTTTGGTTACCGAGAAGGGGTGAGCGGGGAGCACAAGCGCGATCCCTTCAACCGCCGCCGACAGTAGCGGATAATAAGAGGCTTACCGATTCTTTGAAGATGCCGACCGGGCACCTACACTGTTTTTAAATTAAATTACTCATTTCATTTTACCTCAGGTCATCCGATAGCAGCAGCACCAGCTTACCTATAAGGAACAAGAAACTCTATATCGACAAGCCGAACCAATGTGTTTTATTGTACCATTTTAAAATATTATTTTATCACAATTTAATTTTATTAATAATCTTTATTGTATTTACACCTTACTTTTTAGAAGAATAAAATAGTGATCAGTTCAGCATTAGTATTAGTATATATAATGCTATAGCATTCCATTCAAAGTATTGCAACCATGGTGCAAATATACCTATATACTGGACTAGATAGGATTTTAATTAGAGGGTACAAATCTAATAAAAACTTATTTTTCAAATATTGAACAACAAATAATATATAAAAATAAGAAAAGTAAAGGTACAAATTAACATTTTCACCACAAATACGTTTTTAAAATATCTTAAAATTCTTTTGTAGTTTTTAAGGCATACCCAAAATTATATTAGACTCTGGTATAAACAATTGAGACCATCTTCAAAAAAAATCGTATTAGGTATTTAAATACAATAAATTTGAATTATTCAAAATAAACCAATTTTGATTTTATGGTTTCAAGTCATTATGAATAACAAAATAAACTGAAAAAAGCATTATTCTTTAGATAAATGCATATATGTATAATATATATACGTATATGCATATTTAAAATATAATTAACCTTATTTATTGTTAACAAGAATGCACTTAAAAAGCTAACAATAATTTAAATAATATTTGGTCAGTAAAGCTACTGGCTTCCGCACAGTAATATTTTATTAAATATTTTTTAATTAAATTTTTAATGGTTTAAATGTAAATTTGCACTAAAATGAAGTTTAAGGATGGGGTTTTTATTTTTATCAAACCAAGGATTTTATTTATTAAACGTAATTTAAAAAATTAGTCATACCTATCCAATATAAATTGTTAAATTAAAATAAAAAATTACTGTCTTAAAATGAATTAGTCAAAAATGACTAAATTTTATAGTAAAACATTTAGCAGTCATATGTAAAATTGTCCACTGAATGTGAAAAAGTTGTCAAAAGTTATAAAAGTAAAACCGTTTATGAGATGATGAGTCAATTTTCCATATAATATGGAATTGACTATATCTCACAAACTGCTCCGGTTTCATAACTTTTGACGGCATTTTCGGATTCGCTCTTAAATGTCAATGATACAAATTGCTGTGGATTACAGTGGCTGCTTTTTCGTATTATATTAACTAATTTTTTTGACTAATTCATTTTAGGAGAGTACCTACTTACTTGATACTATATATCTGTATAG